GCCTCCGGGAGCCGCGCAGAAGGGAAGGGTCAACACTCGGGGCTCTCTGCGACTCTGGCAGCTGCCTCCAGCTGGCAGCCTCCTGCCTGGCCAGCAGCACCCCTGTCTGCTCACACACACCCCCCTCGGGGGTTGCTGTATGGTCAGAGGCAGCCTCAGCAACGCTGAGGACAAGGGGGAGAGGGTCTTGCAAGGCTGAGGTGCATGCAGCCCCCAGGCTTTTATTAAAGGGGTGCCCGCAATGCAGGAGGCAGAGTGTATAGTCCTGGGGGACAGGCAAGACCTCAAGCATGCAGACAGGGTGGCAAGACACTACCTGACCCCTGCATGATGCAAGAAAACCCTAAAGTGAGGGTGGATCCCAGTTTTGTGCACCAAATCCCTGTGAACCCCAGTTTTGAGCAGCCCCAGCAGCACAGGGCGTCCCACACCCAGTGGGGCTGGAGGGGTGAGGCCCAAATGCACTCCCCTCCTGGCGGCAGCACCTGGCCATCTCCCCAGGCAGAGGACCTGGGATCTGCAGGCAGATGCTGCAGTAATTCCCTCAACCACAGCTCTAATTATATCAGTGCTTTTACAAGTGGCAGCAGAGACGTGGGGCCCTGCACGTCGCCCAGGCACTGGTGAGAGGGGCAATGGGAAGTGCAAGGTGGCCATACATGGGACAGGGCAATGCACCCACATCTCCCCATGCCCACTCTTTAAAGCCATGAATGTCAAGCATCAGCAGCTTCAGGGGCACACGGCGGGGCAGGGAAGCAACTTTCCCCAGGAAAGGTTTACCAAACTCCTGCCCTCCACCTTCAAGACAAGATGTCAAGAGGATCAACACTGCAGGACGTAGACTTGGCTGTGGCCAAAGCTCCTCTTTCCCCCTACACACCCTGCCGTGCAGAGGTGGGCACTCCTGGGACAGCCTTGCAGGGTCCCCAGTGCCTGACCCACAGGCCAGGGTTAGGAAAGCACCCAACATCAGCATCACAGCCCTCAGGATCCATCCCTGTGGGGCCAAGCATTCAGCCCCACACCCCACCCCCATCTCTGGGCTGTAGTCAGAGGGGCCTAAATCCCCTGACCTACTGGCTTGGAGGGCCCCAAGGTATCTGCCCATGCCTGGCCTCCTCCACCAGCAGCCACAACCCCCTGCCTGCACCAGGAGCAATTGAATCCCATTGGAGTGATTTACGTCACCAAGCTGGAAACATCAGGAATCACTGATTTCAGTATTTTTCCCTGGACAGTCCTTTGCCCCCCATACCACACGTATCTCCACACCCCACAACTGACGACAGCACACGCAGGGAGCTTCCATCTCAGGCCCTCAGGCAAGTAAATGAGAGAGGCAATCACAAGCTGCTTGGCACCCACAGCCCACCATGGGATGCCCAGCCCCATGGATCCAGGCCCACCAGCCTCCCTCCAGCTCCCCAAAGCACCCCAGCCTTGTGCCCCCAAACTGGTCCCATGCAGCCTCAGCCATGTCTCTCACTGGCCCATCTGGCTCCACTCATCTCAGCTCAGTGTCCTTCTTAATGACACAGCATCTCAGGATCCATTAAGAAGCATCATGGAGTGGCTGGCTCCAGGATCGATACATCCCTCTCATCAATAATGAAAGAGCATCAGGCTGCCCTTGCTCTCCAGCTGCCTCCGTATGCCCTTCCATTTCCTCCTGCTCCCAATATAGCCACTCTCCTGGGGCACTCACAAGGCACCAAATTGATTTATGCCTCCATCAGCAGGGTGGGGCCACCCCCAGCCCCATCCCTGGGGCACAGTGGGGATGGGCACATCCTGGGGCACCCAGCTGCCAGGAAGGAGGGCTCTGCCCAAGCATGGCCCCTGCTCTGGACACACAACCACAGCCAGTGCTGCCCTTTAGACAGCCATGTCCACACCATCACCTCTGAGGAGGTGGCTGGGTCCCGCTTGCTCCTGGGGACACCCTAATACAGAGGGCAGGGTGGCCCCAGGGCCCCTCACTGCACACATGCCACCAAGATGAGGATCTGCACCAGCTCTCCCACAGCACAGGGTGACCAGGTAGGGAGTCAGTCCGAAACCTTTGCACTGGATTCCCTCACTGGCACTGGGGTGGCCTGGGGGTCCCAGGTCCTGCCTTGTCCTCTGTGCATCCACCTCCCCAGGTAGGTCCCACTGCTCCCCCAGCTTCTCCATGACCCAGTGTGCCCACTCCTCCCCAAAGCACTGTATGCTCTCCATACAGCCTGCTTTGTCCACTTCTCCGTGTGCCACACGCGGGCCTCACTGTTCCCCTGGCCCTCTGTCATGCCCTACATGGGTCCCACTGGACCCCCTGTCATGTGCCCCACAGGGGACCTATTGTGTCCTTGGCCACCTCACTGCACCCTACACAAGTCCCATGGTGTCCTCAGCCCCTCACTGTGCTCCACAAAGGTGCCACTGTGTCCTCGGCCCCTTGCTGTGCCCCACAAAGGTGCCACTGTGTCCTTGGTCCCTTGCTGTGCCCCACATAGCTCCCACCATGCTCCTGGCCCCGTGCTGTACCCTACATGGGTCCTATTGCATCCCCACCCCCTTGCTGCCCCCAGATGAATCCCACTGCACAACCATCCCCTCACTGTACCCTACACGTGCCCCACTGCACACTTGGCCTCTCACTGCACCTCAGATGGCACCCCAGCCTCTTGTTGTACTCTGTGTGCCCCATTGCACCCCTGACCCCTGGCTGCACCCCGGACAGGTCCCTTGGTACACCCAGCCCCTTGTTGTACCCTCTGTGTGCCCATCGTACCACTGTCTCCTCACTGCGCCCCAAAAGGATCCCACTGCACCCGCGTCTCCTCCCTGTGCCCCAC